ACGAGGGGAGGAGAAAGGCATGGGGGAGGATGGGGGAGAAGAGTCAGAGAGGGTGGAGAAGACGATGAGGAAGGAGGGCATGAGATGATGACGATGAGGAGGAGGAGGAGGAGGAGGAGGAGGAGGAGGAGGAAGGGACTAGGTGAAGAAGAGGAGGAAGGAGGAAGACTCACGTTGTCAAGACTTGTACAGGCAAGATCCTCAGGAGGTCTAGCAAGGACGAAGGAGGGGAGGAGACCAAACTTGAGGTCGATGTTTCCTCCCGCGGCAAACTGACAGCAACAGTCAGCAGGCAGGAGAGGAGGAGGGAGAGAGAGGAGGAGGGAGGAGGGGGAGGGGGAATTCACCATAGCAACAATCTGTTTGGCTTGCAAGTTGGAGGAGGAGTGGAGAAGGTCGAAGGTTCTTTGACTGATCAGCATGCTGTTGTTGCCCGACTTCTTCTGCTCGGGCATGTCAGACCCTGTGAACTCAGTCGAGGACACTGGGTAGGAGGAGATTTGATGATGGCATGACCGTATGGTTCAAGAAGAGGGAGGGGGAGGAGGAGGTGATGGTGGCAGCGTCGGGATGTAATGTGAAATCAGGACAGTAAGAACCAACGGAGGTTCAAGGACTGTGGGAGGGAGGGGAGGGAGGGAGGGAAGGAGGGAGGTAGCAGACCTCGAGTTCAGATGCGACTGAGACAGCTGATCCAACGGCACAGTACTTGGGCGTCTGATCCTCTTGGTCAGCAGCTGAACTTCGCCGCATGCCCTGTCTCCCTGTCTATCTTCCTCCTCCTTCCCGCCTCATTCTTTCCTCTGCACACTTCTTTCTCCTCCTTCGTCTCCTCGATGATCCTTTCCTCGCTCTCTTTCCGTTCCTGCAATCACCTGGCAGTTGACCACGAACGAAACGACTTCTCCAGCATGCACCCCAGCACTGCACCTGAATCAGATCGCAAGGAGGGGAAAGGGAAGAGGAGAAGGGCTGAGGGGGTTAAGGGGAGGAGGAAAACGAGCACGGGGAAGAAAAGAAGGGGGGGGGGGGGGGGGGGAGGGAGGAACGACGTAGGAGGAGACGAGACCGGAAGG